TTGTCTACGCTACTCCAGAAGCCACGAAACCAGATAAAGCAACATGGACGACTACTTCCTCAAGGAGTTTATTCTCGCGGTGCGCTACTTCGGCTTCGTCTACCTCGTATTTGGAGACCCGGACGAACGCGCTGAGATTAGCCGCCTATGGTCCAGGAAATCATCCAACTCAACGGTTGTCTTGGTACTCAGACACCTTGCCAAGCACAAGTGCCCGCAAAGCGACATGCCGCTCGTCAAAGCCACCGTCCAAGAGACGAAGGCAGCGGAGTTCGTCCATACCCTCCGAGAGGAAATCGCCTATGTCCAGTACAAGCGACGCCAGCTCCACCGCTTCAACGCCGCCAAGGATGGCCTGTACGAGCTACTGTCAGACCTCGCGCCCGCGATCGCCGCCTCAGAGGGCCTGCGGATCGACGGCGGGACCTGGAAGGATTGGAAGAGGTTTGATAGAGTGTCATTCCAGTGCACAAAGCTGATCTCGAGCGCTAGTCTCTTGATTGCTGGTTCTCTCTCTCGTTACGCTGAGAAGGGCAAGGCCTCTCGTTTGAGTGCAGCACAGGTCAACTTCCTTGTTGATTGGCTGAAGGGCTGTATGGAGACCTTGGAGGAGTTGGCACGTACGACGGTTGAGGATGTGAAGGAGTGTGAGCGCCAAGTGAAGGCAATGTTCGGTGCCCAGAGACGGCGGCCGCGCTCACGGGTGGAGCGGAAGCCGACAAAGGAGACGTCCTCATGGCGTAGATTTGTCGCATTTGATAGGCATAGTGTGCGGAGTCTCTTGGTTGCGGTTTTGGCTGCTGTTTTCAGTCGTTCTTCTCTCGGTCCCCGCCATTCGACAACAGAGTTTCGCTAGATGCGTTTGAGCTTGAAGCCGTGCTGACTATGTGGAAAGAGAAGTCGAGTTCGCCGACGAGGCTTTTAACGTGCCTGTGTTCCGTTAGCCAAGCCAAAATTTGTAGTTGTAACTTATCGAAGTGTTCCTCACTTTAGAATATTTTCAAGATCCCCGATAATACAGCGAGTAGAAATCTGCAGGACCGCAAAAGCGGCGTACCCTGGCTCTGCATAGTGCCGAACGCTCAAGATGTCTTTATCCATGGCTTCAAGGCGCGCCGAAAGTTGAAACGGTTGCGGAGCCTTCAAATAAGGAGGTAAGGGCTGTCCACTGCCTATGCTGTGTGAAAGTAAAGATAGGAGCGACGTGATCTCGTGCGATGTGAAGTTGGCGGAACTGATGAGCCTTCTGAAATTAGAGAGCCAGGCCGATTCAGACTCATCCTTCGGGTTGGCAAATGTAGCGGATGCAAAGGCGATGAGGGACATGTAGTTGTGAACGCTGTATCGTGTCAGTCTGCAACGATCCACTTGGCTGAATGATATTTTGAGGTAAACCTCAGAGGCTTTGCTAAGTGGATAAGGCTGGTCTTTTACTTACTTCTGTATGCATTGAATGAGCGCGTCATAAGTCTCTTTAGGAAACCTTCCGCCAATCTGGACTTGCCATCTGGACATCGCAGAAGCCTGTCGGAGCCCGTTGAGAAGCATCGTCTGCTTGGTGAACACCTTGATTCGAGCCTTTTCCAACCTCCGACCGGGACTAGTCTTGAGCAGCATATTACCCTCATCGCCACGTATCCGACCATGAACTGTCTCGTGAACAATAGAATAGTAGTTTGCCAGCAGGTACAATGAAGCTCCAAGGTTGCGCCGAAGCTCGGAGTTTTCGGATACGGGATACGGAAAGATAGTCCAGAAGAAAGCAACGGCCAACCCTCCGGCGACAGTTGCCAGTCTGTACGGTCCGAATAGATACACCGGCAGGTAACCCTGCCCATTAGACGTTGCAGCAGCCGTACCGATTTTGCGAACCTCCAGTTCGTAGCCGATGATTAACGTAGTAGTGACAACTCCGATCAGCGCGGCTATGATGAATCTGGGGTATTTGACCACAAAGTAGAACCCCACCCCTGCGAACAGCCATAGTAGAACAAGGATACCAACGACGTTCCGATTAGGAATGTAGTAGATAAAAAAGGCGAAGACCATCGCCACGACCGTCCCCACCAGTCTCAGCGCAAAGCTGAAGATGCTGAAGCCAGCTGTGACGTTCATGCTGATGGCGACCATGAACAGAGACCACAACAGGCGTTGCTGAATGAAGAATCTTTGAGTATCCGCAAGGAACGCAATGATACCAATCGACATGGTAGCGCAAGCGGCACGGAATCCGAACACGGACTCATTGGACCGTAGAAACCTGGGTATCGCTCGAACGCCATTGCCTAGTTTTTCGAAGACATTCGCGGGGAAGGTGTTCCGGGTCCTTCCTGATTCTATATGCTTCACCGAGATACAGCGTGTTGCCGGCTCCGTCAACGTCTGACATGACACGATCATCGCCGTCGGAGGTGTCCTCTACCTTGTACATGCTTTTGATCCACTTTTTCATTCGAATGAGGCCGGGTACAATGAGTCGTGTCTTCGACATCGTCCCATCGGCGACTTTTGCGTCAGCAAAACGTACTAATGCCAGAACGCTTTGACTGATTGAGTAGAAAAGGAACTCCATCTGTAAGCCGGTTTTGTCAGCTTTAGTGACCATACGTATCGAACATGCGATGAGCACATCGCAGGATGCAAGCGAGTCGTCTCGTTTCATGTCTTTTGCGAGACCGTTGACGAGTCGAAGCAATCGCCGATTCGCCATACGGTAGAGGTAATGCAATTTCCACCCTGAGCATTGATCCCTCAGACAGAAAGAAACAGCAGGAGAGACTCACGTATAGAAGCAAGTATAGCTGCCGTTGATTGCGTGCGTGTGTGCCTTCTGTCATCACTCTTTCCATTGAAGCAGTGCTGTACAGAGCGTCCGCAGGATGGTCGAAAAAGTCCGGTGCAAGCCTGATGCCCTTTCGTTCACACCATGTCTGCAAGACCATCTCCTTACCATGGTAGAACTCTTGGCTCTTGCGGTCCAGATACTCCGCGAAACCCTTGCCTCCTGGTTGCGAATCCTCCCCTCTCGCCTCCACATCATCAGCGCCGGCGCCAAAGCCATCCTGGACATTGTTGCCTTCCTTCTGTTTAGCCGGTTTTTGCAACTTCAAGCAAAGCATAGCATGCAAGATGCCCTCGTCCAGTACCTGCGTGATTGAGGAGAACGGCTCGTGGACTGCCTTCATGATGTCATTCCATTCGTGAATAGCGCGTTTCTGCTTTTCTTGTGGGTCAGCGTCTCCCGCCGCAGTTTCAGCCTTCCGATTCCAGTAGTCCAACTCTCCGAGTCGCTCGAAGATATCGATCACCGAGCTGAGTCCGACAGTCGGAAGCATAACTCCCCGTATCAGGCGACTTAGTTCTTGTATCTCGTCCGGACCGAGGTTACCGAACGCGACTTCGCGTTTGGCGAAAGGAAGGTCGCCGTTGAGCTTGCCTGATAGCTCGCCGATGCTAGCTACAGCCTTCTTCACTGCTGCCGCTTGGGGAGTTTCCGCCTTCTTGCCTTTCTTCCCAGTTGAAGCAGCCTCGGTGAATGCCTCTGAATCTTCCAGGTTTTGAAGATACGCCACTTCCACTTTCCAAACCTTACGCAAGGTCTGGAAGTACCCAGTCATCTCCTTGAAGACAACCTGCCGGGAGTTCATCGGGACGATCAAAAAGGATACAACGGCTGCGATCGCCAGTCCCGCAAGAAATGCCTCAAACAGCTTTCGGGCGAAATTCATGCCTGCTGCCATGTTTGAGAAGGTTGGCGCAAATGTGGTCGCGGTAAACACAAAGATGCAATATATGATGGCGGGAAATTGAAATTGCGGAAGCTTGGCACGGAGTGTGGTAATCATGTAAATCTGAGCGAACAGCCAGATCGCAGAGACAGCCGAGGCAGAAGAGTTGTACGCGGCCGTTGAAGTGCCTGGAGTCGGCACACCCACGCTGCTAGGCCCGCTAGTAGTTCCGGTGTGCTGGCGAGCCATGACCGCACAGTATATCGCGAGAAGCTGAACCGCAGTAGATAAACAGATCGAGAGGATGTTCAAGAAAAGTGTCTGCACGAATTTGGCGCGTGGCATGATGCAGAAGCCGAGTACTGACACGATGGCAACGAGGTAGCCCAGGGTTCCGAAGTGGTTCGCGACGGCGTCCGCTTGACATCTAATATGAAGTCAGCTCAGTCCAGGGTCGCTATAAGATGGGTCATACATTGCAAGAGCGACCACCGGCGGAATTCCGCCCCTAATGTACATGCGTTAGCCAATGCCATTGTGCATATTCCACGTTGATAGACCTGCTTCGCCATAATCAGGCATGTGCCCTTGTCCAACCCAGTCTTTGTCCATATCTGCTTCAGCTTCGAGGGCTGCTTTGCTTTCTCGGAGGAGGACTTGCTGGCTCCATCTGGTGCGGGTTCTTCTGGGGAAGCTTCGCGAGACTCCGCCGAGTCGGTCCGGTTTGGATTTGATGCCATTGACTTCGCTTTAATAGCCTCGTTAGGGGCCACGACGTAACATCTGGAATATCGTAACGATGGTTAGAGGGAAAGGATTGTGAAGAGTCTTGAAGGATTGGGAACGTATATACAGCGACTCGTATGCTGAGTAAACTGTAGTGCATTAGTTAAAGATCGGATGCTTGGCGCATCCACAATATCGATTCCGCGGTTGAAGGCTGACGTCAGATATTATCCGATCATAGAGGCTCGGCTTGGTACGAGGCATGTTTAAGTATCCAGCTGCTCGATAAGGCCGTATACGGGTAGATAGAAGTCTTGACAGGACCACCGAATACTCGAACAGAGCAAGCCATGTGTCGGCGAGAGCATGCCTAGGGTAGGCCCCTGCAAGGTGGCTTTGTGGGGTCCTGCAGATCATAGCGACATCTTGATCATGTGCGACTTGACATCCTCATTCTGCAAAAATGCTCAGGATGGATCTCACGCTTCCACCAAACCTCGGACCGTTTCCCCCAGATCCAGCATAATAAAACGCAAAAAGCTTGAACTCTCCGACGGGGAATCGAACCCTGGATAGATATTAGTGTTTTATAGCAAGATCAGGGAGATAAATGACGAACCCGGTCTCCCGCGAACTTGTATCGGTAAGATGACAAGCGGAAATCATCACCACTAGACCATCGAAGACTTAAACCAGCTACGCTAGTGATGGTGACGTCATATTGGAGTTATTCAATATAAGACGGCTTTCAGCTCAAGTTATCTAGCTTCGATAACTCCCACATAAGAATCACGCTGCACACCGTACAAGGACTGCAAAAGCTCGACCTGGTAGGATAGTTGTACGGATTCCATACGCTTGGGCCTTATGGTGTGCCAGAACGTGAAGGATCAATTGATCGTGAAACTTGTGCTACTTGTATTTGTATGGCTATCTGTTAGATATATGTCTTCTACCAGCTTGCCGCCAGCCACCTAGTCGATGTCCTCATAGCATAGAGCCCTGCTGAGATTCCCAGGTCTGCGATGAGCAGGGACCTGGCTCTGCGAGCCGCCTAAAACCCCCGCAACTCACCGGCACTCCGTCAGTGTAGCCAGGAAAAATCTCGCAGCTCATGCATCACTAAGTCTGGCTCGACCCGAGGCGCTATGTAATACCTCCAGTTTCTCTCTTGCCGCATCTGCCTCAGCAGCACCGTGCCCAGAAACCGGCGTTGCCGCACCGGAGGGTTCTTGTGTTGAGCTTTGCGAGAGCACTTTCTTGTCAGCGCCGGTCACTGTCTGCCCTTTCGTCCGGGCGAACTGCGATGAGCGCGAGTGAGATGGATTGTAGCTGTAGAACTCATCGACGATGGGGTGTATCATAACGGTCTGCTTGTGGATTGTTAAGGTTGAGTTCGTGGGGACGGTGACCCAGTTATCTGTCAGTGTCAGTGATAATGCATAATTCGAAAGTTGTGCAGTGACAAACCTCTCTCGAAAGTCAGCGGCTCGCTCGCAACAAGCACGATATCAGCGCCCTTGTCTCTTCGCTCCATCTTGTAATCGCCCTTCTCATCGTCCGACGTCCCGCTCGGCTTCTGCTGCTTCCAGCTAGTGCCAGATGAGAAGAACAGGCTGGCCGCCTCGTCCGTCCTGCTGCTGACGTAGCGTGTGCACACGACGCTGTGTCCGTCCGTGACCGCAAAGTTGAGCAAGCTTCTAGAGTCCTCCTCTGTCTTCAAACGGTCAGGAATGTCAGCGATGAATCCATTGATCCTCTTGATGGTCTTCAGCATCGCCTTCCGCAGCACCGTATGTCCAAAGCCACTCTCCCCGGGCTCCGCGTTCGGAGAGTGGCCCATCCGTTCCATGCTATCCAGGAACAAGGCGAAGGCCCATTCGCTGTCGGTGCTCCCCTGCACAAAGTTGAACCACTCGTCCGCTACAGATGTTGCAAGGCGCCTCTTGACATGCTTCCATGATCCGATGCCGCCGTTATGCATCCACATCAGCTGGCCGTGTCGGAATGGATGGCAGTTGCTATCGGACAGATTCCCTTCGGTCGTAGCTCTGACATGGGCGAAGATGAGGGAAGACGAGGTCTTGGATGCAAGCCTCTCCAGGTTGATGCAGTTCCAGGCCGGGATAGTGGACGTGAAGATACATGGCTCGGGACCGAGGGTAGGAGAAGTATAGTAGCCAACGCCGAAGCCGTCACCGTTGTGCGGGCGACGAGTGTCTAGGCGCAGGCGCGAGTCGTAGGACTGGGTCAGGATTGAGTGGGTAGGGTCCAGGATCAGCTTGGACAACAGGATCTCATCCTTGCCTTTGTAGACCTGTATCCTGTCAGCGGTACGCTACTTGGGGATCTCGTGCGCGTAGGACCTCCTCTCACATACCAGGAATCTGCACATATTGCGGGTATCCGAGCTCGAAGCGCTGTAAACCCGGCTTGATGTGCACTTCGGAGGACAGAGGAGTGGGCGCGGATAGAGCTTGGTGTATCAGGATCAAAGTGCTAAGCCTGAAGGAAGTTTGCGCTTGATTAAGGCATCGCGGCGCAAAGAAATGAAGACGCGGTGGTCACTGCAAAGGCCTGGATGACGCGATTTGCGAGGGAGGAAACTTCATTGTTACCGAGACAACCAAAAAAGCCGTAAGGTGAGTGTATTCTAGAGCAGTAGCTGTAGCTAACTAACTGAGCATAATAATGCGACTCTCAAGCTTAGTAGGTAGAGGTGGGCTGGCGGACACGAGACGCCAACGCGGAATGATGCCACGTGCGGTCATCGCCGTCGCCGCAAATGTTGGCCATTCCGCAGCCCATCAACCAACAGCTGTCGCCAACCAAAAACCTACTACCAAGCCCGCCTACGTTACAGCAAACAAACGCACCTCATGCTCAAGCCGCCTGAATAGAAAAAATATCCAGAATGAGCAGCAGGCTGCTCGCCGCACGTCTCGCGCCTGTAGCTCGCCGAGCCACACTTACCTTCCCGCGCCGCCTCGCCCATCACTCAAGCTCCGCCGCTGGAGGTCTACTACGCTCAGAAGCCGGCCAGCGGCTCCTGAAGCGGCGACCATGGCCCCTCGGGGCATACGCGCTTCACAATGTGCCAGCTGTCCGGACCATCTCGTTTGTCCGCGTACTGCCAAAGCTGGTCACAAAGTTTGCGACGCTGGGGGCTATGGCTGGAGGCGCGATGATAGCTGGGCTGTCATACTTGCAGTATCAAGCAGGGCAGGCTGGTAGCTATGTGGTGGATATTTTCAAACGCGCCAGTGATGGGGCTACAACGGCTGCTGGAAATCTTTACGGGAACGCTAGCGAGGCCCTCGAGCAGACGAGGAGGGGATGGCAAAAGGCAAAAGATGGAGTGGAGCTACCAGAGTGGCTGCGGAGCATATTCGAAGGGAGGGAGGAGGGTTCTGGAAATGGCCAGGGAGGTTCAGGTCCTGAAGGGTCGCCCAACCAAAGCCGCTCTGGAACAGCCGCTGCAGCAGTCGGTGGTGCTGCCACTGCATTTTCATACGATGACGAGTCCGAGAAGGACGAGCCAATAGAGGAAAAGATTGCGAGGGACGATCAAATGATGCTGTTGACAAAGAAGATGATCGAGATCAGGAGCTTGCTGCAGACTGTCGGTCAGTCGGATGCTCTGACCTTACCGTCCATCGTTGTTATCGGGTCGCAGTCTTCCGGCAAGAGCTCGGTCTTGGAGGCTATCGTAGGACATGAGTTTTTACCGAAGGGCTCCAACATGGTCACGAGGCGACCGATCGAGCTGACTCTAGTCAATACTCCTGATGCGCACGCTGAGTATGGCGAGTTTCCCGCCTTGGGCCTTGGAAAGATCACCGACTTCACACAAATCCAAAGGACGTTGACAGATCTCAATCTGGCTGTACCAGCAAGCGAATGTGTTTCCGATGACCCTATACAACTGCGCATCTACTCGCCAAATGTGCCCGATCTATCTCTTATTGACCTCCCTGGTTATATACAGGTGACCGGGAGAGATCAGCCACCCGAGTTGAAAGAGAAGATCGCGGAACTCTGCGAGAAATACATCCAGCAACCCAACATCATACTGGCGATATCCGCGGCGGACGTTGACTTGGCCAATTCCACCGCACTACGCGCTTCCAGGCAGGTTGATCCTAGAGGAGAACGAACGATCGGAGTCATCACAAAGATGGATCTCGTAGACGCGGAGCGGGGCGCTAGTATGTTGACTGACAAGAAATACGCTCTCCGACTGGGTTACGTCGGGGTTGTATGTCGGGTGCCACAGTCACAGGGCAAACTCTTTTCTCGCGGTAGCGGTAACATCACGAACGCTATCGCGAAGAACGAGGATGCCTACTTCTCGTCCCATCCGGCGGAGTTCGGCACAGAGACCACCATCGAAGTTGGCACGAAGAATCTTAGGAAGAAGCTGATGTATGTCTTGGAGCAGACTTTGGCGGCAAGTCTCAAGACAACAAGCGAAGCTGTTCAGGGCGAGCTGGCAGAAGCGACGTACGAGTTCAAAGTACAATACAACGACCGTCCTCTGAGTGCCGAGACCTACTTGGCGGAAAGCTTGGACTCTTTCAAGCACTCATTCAGAGAGTTCACAGAGCACTTTGGCCGGTCAGAAGTCCGTGAGTTGCTCAAATATGAACTGGACCAACAAATCTTGAATCTGCTGGCGTCACGGTATTGGAACAAGCCACTAGAGGATCTCTCTCCACCACTACCCGAGAGTGATCCTCTGAGTGGGCTACCCAAAGCCGATCCGGACAATCAACTATGGCGCCTCAAACTCGATGCCTCGACTGCCTCCCTCACAAAGCTGGGCATCGGCCGCCTTGCAACAACAGTCGTCGCAAATGCCCTACAAGGGCATATTGACCATCTCATCAACACATCTACTTTTGGACATCATCCGTTCGCACGACAAGCTATCACAGAGGCTTCGACTGCCATTCTTAAAGAGCTGTCGTACGACATCAGCGACGAACTAGAAATATGCATCAAACCTTACAAGTACAGGATCGATCTGGAGGACACTGAATGGTCCAGAGGCCGAGAGAACATCCAAAAGACGCTAAAAGAGGAACTGCGCTCATGTGAAGCTGCTGCCAAGCATGTCGAGAGTGAAGTTGGCGGGAGGAAAAAGCTCAAGGATGTGATGGGCTTCATTGACCGCGTCCGAAACGGGCAGGTCGTGCTTGAGGGCGATGGTAGAGGTGGTGCCGGCGGTTTCAGTTCCGCTCTGCTGGAGAAAGGTATGCGTACGAGGAGCAAGCTGCTTGGACTCAGGCTGACGGAACATGCGCAGGCTTGGAAGGGGTCTTTCTACGGGATCGTGCCGACATATTGAAACTGCGACTCATGGCCATCAAGTCCAAGCAGTGTGCAAACAAGAAGAACAAGTACTTCTGCCCAGAGGTCTTCTTAGATGCGGTGGCCGACAAGCTTACGACGACCGCTGATCTGTTCCTCGATGCTGAGCTATTGTCAAAATTCTACTACATCGTAAGTCTGAACTCCGGGCTTGGTCTCCAGCTCTTCTAATTTCAAATCACAGTTCCCACGTGAGCTCGATGCACGATTGGGGAGAAACCTATCTCCAACTGAGATCGAGCGTTTCGCGCGCGAGGATCCCAAGATCCGGCGACATCTTGATGTAGTTAGGCGTAAGGAGCTGTTGGAACAC